TGTGATCATAAAGATAATTATTAATAATTAATAATTAATTAAATATATTTAATTTATAGGATCATCTGGGGGTTCTTTCTTTGAACTTTTTAATGACACGCGAAAAAAAGCTGGTTGGTTTCTTTAATTTATATTATTATTATAAAATTCTATTAATTCTTCTTTATTCTAAAGGTTTGTATATTTAATTTTAAATATATATTTTTTAAAGGAAAACTGTTATTTTTTCTTGATATATGGATAATCGTTCACATTACCATGATCGCAATTGGTAAGTTAATAATTGCATTTTACATTTATTCGCTTTTTTTATATCGATTAATTGATATTAAAATGTTTTTAAATAGGCTCATTGCACTTGAATCAATGTTCAGCAGAAAAATTTATACCGATATATCTCATTGTTGGGGGAGTATTTGGCATAGCAAAAAATGTATTAAATATAGTTCAGCACTTTCGAAAGACGGATGATGAAGAATTTAACGTTTTTTACTTAGATAAAATACTTAATGCATTTTTATTTTGCTGGTTTATTGCAGGTATGATCATTTTTATTAATAAATCATTAAAAATTGTAACATTTAATTAATATTACTTGTTATTATCCATGCTTTTTTTCTTATTGGTTCATTTGAATTCAAATTAAACGGTTTAGCGTTAATCTCGATTCTATTGGCTCATTTGAATTCGAATCAGCCAATAGCAGCTAGCGTATATATTATGCATCTGTTGAAAGATTGAAATTAATTAAATTAAATTTACGAATTGATTGTTATTAACGTCTTTTTAGTTGTTGACATGGTTCATTAATTAAATATATATATATATATATATTTTTTTTTTTTTATTTTACAGGTTGTGTTTGGATATACAAAGCGTACAAACCCGAATTCAACGATACCAGCGATGCTAAATATTGCAATAANTTGCAATTTTTTTTTTTTATTTTACAGGTTGTGTTTGGATATACAAAGCGTACAAACCCGAATTCAACGATACCAGCGATGCTAAATATTGCAATAAAGTATTGTATCTGTTTGCATTTTGGTTAACGAATATCACATTGTTTTTAATGGTTTTCTCAGTTGTTTTATGTTGCGCTTATGTGGGATGTTTATTCTGTAGAAAGAATTAAATATACCATTTAAAACTTCTTAAATTTCTTAATTAACATTAAGATTTAAGAAAACATAAAAGATATTTTAAGTAATTAATTTTAAAATATATCGAATGTTAATAATAACATTCAATATTATTAAAATCTATTCCTGTGTATCTTATTTTTCAATAAAATATTTGAATATAAGTTTTATTCGCCACAATTATATAATTTTTTTATTTTAATCACGTCGTGTTCACTTAATCCATATTTATTTTGTAACAGTTCCAATTTAGTACCATTTTTCCCTTCCATAGTTTTAGATATTCCATTTTTAGAAAAGAATTTATCTCCATATAACATTATGGATTCATAATCAAACTCTACCGACGTATCGAAATCCGAATTATTCCTTTTACTAAATTGTGTTTCCATACCTGAAAATAATACAAAATAATTTCTAGATTAAAATTTGTCAATTAGTAATCCTTTCTTTTTAAGCCGTTCTGATGGCCGAGTGGTTAAGATGGCAGCTTACAGCTCGTGAGGACGGGTCGAAAAACACCACGGTGTCTAGTCTCGAGTTATATGAATTACGTGGTATTACCTCATTCATTGAGACCATTTACTGAAGGAGTTCGTGACACGTGGCACTCCCAACAACTTCGTGTTGTTACTCGCACAAGTCGAGACTAGGCATCGGCGAATTTTTCGGGGGTAGGTCTCGTGCCTCAACACTCAGATGCTACGTTATGGGCTTAACAGAATGCATAACGAGCGTCTAAATGGGCTCCACAGAGAGGAAACAGTTTGAAAAAGATACCTTTTTGAATATTATTCCAATGGATGATTAAATAATCGTCACGGTCGGGTCTTGTATGTTCGTGATACAAACCGACAACGTGACCAAACTCGTGAACGACAATTGGAAAATGGTTACATCTTCTTCCTAATGATAGCACCTGTTTTCCTCCCTTTCTGCCAATGTAAGAGTGGCATCTGCAAAGAAATTTTTAACTAAAATTATTATTTTTTTGAAAGATGACGTTTGAATGCTACAAGTGATATAGATTTCAAAAATCATAAATTGAAAAGAAAAATTATTATTTTTTTTAATAATAATTTAAATTTATCACGGTGGGATGGCCGAGTGGTTAAGATGGCAGCTTACAGCTCGTGAGGACGGGTCGAAAAACACCACGGTGTCTAGTCTCGAGTTATATGAATTACGTGGTATTACCTCATTCATTGAGACCATTTACTGAAGGAGTTCGTGACACGTGGCACTCCCAACAACTTCGTGTTGTTACTCGCACAAGTCGAGACTAGGCATCGGCGAATTTTTCGGGGGTAGGTCTCGTGCCTCAACACTCAGATGCTACGTTATGGGCTTAACAGAATGCATAACGAGCGTCTAAATGGGCTCCACAGAGAGGAAACAGTTTGAAAAAGATACCTTTTTGAATATTATTCCAATGGATGATTAAATAATCGTCACGGTCGGGTCTTGTATGTTCGTGATACAAACCGACAACGTGACCAAACTCGTGAACGACAATTGGAAAATGGTTACATCTTCTTCCTAATGATAGCACCTGTTTTCCTCCCTTTCTGCCAATGTAAGAGTGGCATCTGCAAAGAAATTTTTAACTAAAATTATTATTTTTTTTAATAATAATTTTTCTATATGATGGATCAAGACCCACTTTTATATAATTAGCAACTAAGAAATATAGATAAACCATTAATTTTAACATCATATGTGAGTTTAAAGATGCTTCTTTCACACATTATAATTCCTAAATAATATCAAGAATTCCCATAGAACTTGCGTCAAATAATCCTCTTGTATGCTATGGTAATGATGGGGGGACATATTGATCCATTGAATTATTCAACCCGTTTTTTTATTTGCATTGCTAGAAATATATGTGATGCTTTTGGAGAGCCAAAGCATAGATTATTACAATTTAACATTATTGAACTCGGAGACCTCGAAACAACGAGATATGGATGGATGTTAGTGTGTGACGGGCATGATTTCTTCGCCCACTTTGAAGCTTAATAACTCTTGCGCCTTTTGTCAAAAATTCCTGAAATTTTGCAGGAGGATTTGCGTATTCGGCGGATTGATACTGATAAATTTTGGTGGTTAAAGATCACCTGGGTGGGGAGATAGAGAGGTCATGTATTTTATCTCCAGTGGGATCAGACTTAATCAAGATTATACTCAGTATTAGTACTTAGAATTTTTTATAAAACTCATTTATACCTTCAAAATTAAGCTTTCTAATAATTTTCAAAGTGTTAGAGAGTACTGTATTGCACTTACCCTGTTCCTTCATAAATCATTACATAATCCCGTTCGTACGTTCTATGTACAAACCTAATACAAGTTAATTTCTCATAATGCGATAAAGCATCATAAATTAACCTTCTAAGTTTGTATCCTGTAAAATATATAATTGCAAATTAATAAATCAAAATACCTAAATATTTTTAGGTACTTTCCCTAGACTAATTTACTTACTGACACCGAACTTGATCTGATAAGGTATTCTACCCATTGGCCAAGTACTATATCTTTTAATATTTCGATTCTATATTAAATTATAATAATTATAATGCATGATAACAAATAGATTTCAATTATTTAGTCGAAGAAATAAATTAATTTTATATATACTTGTCTAGGCGAACTTCTGGCTCCGAGAATATCTCCTTCAAACAAATTTGGATTAAGATAAAATAAGGAGGAAAGCCCTGGACTAACTGCAAATTAGTAATAAATAATTAAATATTTTGTAAAAAAAAATACAATTACAATTAAAACTTAACTTACCAAATATATTTAGATAAATTTTTAATATAAATTTTCTATTCATTTCTTTTTGTTATTAAGTAAATTTCAGTGCTACTTTTATGGGTCTTTATGCGTTAATTCGTTGAAAAGTATAAGCCATTTCTAAACATTGTTTGGAGTTAACCACTAACAGAATAATTATAGTTAAATTTTAATTAAGTGAAGATTAAATAATTTAATTAATTATTATTAAAAGTCGAAAATATTAACGAGAAAGAAACTACGTGGGTGTATCAAAAATTAATTTTTAAACCTCCCACTTCCATTTTTGTATCAACGTATGCACTTACGAGCTCCCGATGAATCTCACATGGTAAAGTTTCCTTTACTACGTGCCCCACAGGCCTCTTCCTCTTTTGAATTTAGTAATCAAGCTTCTTAAAAACGCAAATAAATCTGATGCCAAAGTGTGCCCATCAATGGCCGAGTATAAAAAACAATGAACACTGATAGTAGGTCGTGTGTTCACGCGGCTGTCTCGTTGTTTTTCGGGTATTCTTCACGTGTGTAGCACCAAAATATCAGCTAGTCTCCCCTTGGCAAGTCATCCGTGTGTTGCATTGCCTTATCCCATTAATCCAATGTATCCATTACAAACGATGACAAGGCCAGCTATCAGATGCCATACGCAGAAGACATACGAAGGTCTATACTTGCCAAAGCGTTTACATACTTCCTTCCACCACTCCCCTGAAAAAAACTAAAAAAAATAATTTTTTGATACACTCACTTAGTTTGTGTTTGTTAACTCTGTTAAAAGCTGTATATACTTCGTCTATAAAATTATAAATTGTTATTTAATGACGACAGTCCATAAATTTCGTTTAGAGTATTGATTAATGATCAATAAATTCGTATTAACGACTTAAACACTAAATTAATAATTTTTTTCATCCGGATTTTCAACTAAATTTGATTCGAAACAATTTAAAATATTTTGAATTAAATATATCATCCTATCAAAACAGGTTTATAAATGTCAATAGTTGAACGTAATTCTTAAAATTTGTGTTAAATGAATAAATTTTATAGCATTTTTCTCGCTTATATAGAACGAGAGACAAAATTTTCGTTAAAATCTTTCAATTTATGGTAATAAAAAGAGTGTATAATGTAGAATAATTGCAAAAATCTTTTGCAATTAACTATAAAATTGCAAAATTAGAATAGTCACGTACCGGGTGATCGTAGCCTAATTAAAGTATCTCTATTCAATGCTGTCTGACTGTAAAAAAAAAATGGCGAACCTGTAACTCGCAAATAAAACCATAAAAAACACAAATAATACGTAGAAAAAACATTGAATTAGCTGAAAAATAAAAATTTATATCTTCAAAACTACAAATTGTTTCAAATATATTTAAGATTCGTTTGATGGAAGAACACTTGCGATCTTCAACGCGGGTGTGCCGCCGGGAGGAATTTTTATGATAACCAGCCCCAATTTAGGTGTTAGACATGTTTATTATTTAATTAATTAATTAACAGTTTATTATTGTTAATATAAATAATTTTTAAATATTTATATTTAACTTAAGTATTGATATAATTATGTAAATTATATTATGGAAGTGACTCCACTAAACTAGCGCCATCTCTGGAATATTTTTTAAAGTAACAAAAAAACTTTAAAAAAAACATTAAATCAAAGTTTAAAAAAATACATTTATATTATTTTATTTATATAATAATTAAATGGAATTTTTAAGCTAATATAAATGTAGCATTTTTAATAATTTATTTTATTACGCATTTTGTATAGAAATTATTTTCTTTTATTACCAACAGATGGCGATAAGCGTCTATTTTAATCAGAGTCGATAGATAACGCTGCCAATAGCTCTAATGCTACGATAGTGGAGTAATAGATATTTCTGCCACTCCGAGCGCTGCAATCGTTTTGCGGCGTAAAGGTATTGAGAATCAGTTGTAAATATTCGAAATTATTTTAATATATGAAGTTATATCGTTTTTAACTCAGATATTTTAAAGGACTGCTTATAAGTACTATTTTAATTCGGTTTTGAACTTTATTTATCCATAAATGTAGTTAATATTTATATTTCTATTAGAGAGGGTGATTAAAAGTCAGTAGATTTAGTTCTTGGATTTTAAACAGAGGAAAAAGAGGAAATTCCAACTATTTAGACAACATATTTACAGGCACATAATAACTTAGAGATGATTAGAGGATGATGAGTTAGAGGTTGACAAATAAAATAGGCAAACAGGATGGAAAGAGTTCAGACAGTATTATTAGATATTGAGAGTAATAGTGATTAGTGATGACACAGAGACATGTTAGTGATGTTTTAGGCCTGTATAAACAAAGGACAGGTGTAGGCCATCAATAAATCTTCATTCATATTCTCTTTTTGATAGCGCAGAATATTATATAAATTATCAAAATATGTAAAGCCAATGGGAATGTCATAAGAAATGTAATTTCTTGTGTCAAAAATACAAAACTATTTCATCTTAAATACTAGTTCTCACTATATCGAATCGAGTAAAATTATATAGTACACTTTATGTAGTGTTAAAGGTAATAAATTATTTTTAAAATAGTTTGTCTTTATCTGGATCAAATTTCTATGATTATTTAAATGTGTCGTACGAAAAGCTATGGTTTTCCTAATTATATTGTCATACACATGAAATAAAACAAAACAGTAAAATGCAAATTTACTTACTTATTTTATCATTACTGTATTGAACAGATACTCAGAAAATTAAGTACAAAGCTTCCATTCACGATATGAAGCAATATAACAGTTTTAAACAGATCTTCTAATGCATTTAAGCAGCCAATGAAATTTAAATCAGATAAAGGCAAACTTTTTTGTTTCCTAACAAGAGAATTGACCTGTATAATAAAAGAACTTGCTTTATTAATTAGAAAATTATCGAAAAAACCTTTACTTTCTAATTTAAATTAATTTGTAAGTATTCCACCAAAAGTATCTGCTCCCAGAACTGTTTCCACAATTTTCAAAGGGTTGAGAACTGTTGCTTTAATACAATAAAAAAAATGTTTTAAGTTTTCGCTCTGTGGGCACCGAGACCCTTTAATCATACTCATCGTGGGCTCGACCAAGCTTGCAATAGGGACTGATGGTGAACCCAGAAAATTCCACGTGGCCAACAAATTGGCGAGGCGGAAACCCACGACCTCTATGTACATGAAGAAAGGCCTCTTACTGCCCACTGGACAGAAATATTTAAAATTAAAATGAGGATAAATGCATAGATGAACTGAAAATTTTTATTATCTACTCATTCTGCCATATTGCCTGATCATAGCCGCAACTTTATCCATGACATCAGCATTATAACATTTAGTAAAAATATGTAATGTATTGCAAATTAACTGTAATTGACCTCACTCAATGACACCGCAACTTTATCGGTCCGTAATGGTTCATAATTACATGTCAGCAATATCATGTGTTTTATTAAAATGTTCGGATGTGGACAATAACAGACCCTGTAGATTTACTTAAAGCTTTGCTTGAATCCTTAATCCTTTGGCTTTACCATGGTGAGTTTGGCCAGGCTTATAATGAGCCTGGCCAAACTCACCATGGTAAAGCCAAAGGTTTGATAAAACAATTCTCCTATGGCGGAGTGCTATTGTGTTGCTTTGCGGAATCCTATCAAACCAATGGATGGCAAAATCCATGGGCAAACCCATGATGGCCAAGCCATGATGGGTATACGTTAGAACACAGTTCATAAATAAATACAACAGCTTGATCACATAAACCTTTATGTGGCACACAAAATATAAGGAAAAAAGAAGATGAACAACAAAACGAAGCTAACTTGAACATGAAAATCCACAAAACACTTGCGCTTCGTCATCTGCCTAAAATTATAAATGCAGCAAAGGTTCTTCCTCGGCTGTTAATTCAATTTGTAAACCTTCTCGTTCATTTACAATACTGTAACATTAAAATGGTATAGATTAAGTAGATCCAGACTCATAAATGGTCGTATCCGGTTATGCCTTTTTTATGGATACCATCTGACTGCACATTTTTGTTTTATAACTGTAACTACATAATATCAATAAAGAAATTGGGCCGATGCCTAGAGATATTAAATTAAGCTGAGTTAATGGAGGGGCACCGAAGAGGAGACTCGTGCAGCCCAAAATATCAAGTAAATCACCTGTAAAGTAGTTTCTACTTTTTGTACAAAATGCGTGACGTCAAAATACTTAAGTATTGTTCACACGTGCTAAATGCTTGTTGCGTCACATTTCAATGCCTGTAGGCATAACGTGTCGGTCATTCTAATTTATGCTTTCCAGTTTAAGAAAATGGTAGTAATATAGAATCTAATTTATGCATTTATTCTTATAATAATCCTATATAAACCCCGATATAACGTATACCTTTCTTAAAACATAGTTTATATTAAGTTATAATAGTTTTCGATAGAATAATTAGAGTTATTTTTTTAAAGTTATTCTTTAAGGAAAATTAATTTTAATCCCTTTTTTAAATTAGAATTTAAGCCATTAACCCTATTAAGATTTTTATGTGTTAAAATTTTGGAGGAAAATTAAATTAACATTTTTTAAACTTATGGGTGATAACAATCAAGGCCTCTGGGACGTCGAGAGAGGCCTGGATATCTAAAAACCCTTAAAAAGTAAAGATACCCCTTTTGCACACAATAAATACAAATAAACCTGTGAACAACGGACAAGAAACGTAAGAAATGGTCGTCATTAAAGGTGGCCAATGTTGGAAAGTGGCCATCATTAGAGGTTATACTGTATTTTTTACTCCTCTCCTCTATGCCCCAAATGGCCCCCTTGGCCCTTCCATGAGAAAACCTGATAACAACCGAATAAATTTCATGGTGTATCCTTTCAAAATATCTAGAATCTCAAACGAAACTAGAAAGAAGGATACAAAAACGAAACGAATTAGTCATCCTCTTACACGTCATCAAATTCCTTTACTAATTTTTGGATCGTGGCCATATCCGTAA